TTTAGACCACATCGTGATTCACCGACTTTTCCGGTTTCAATTCTGATCTGAACATTGCAAAGTTGTTGCTTCTCCATAACCTCTTCCACGTAACTCTGTGTTAGCACGCTTCCACTATCTTTCATTGCTTTACTGAGAACCACTTCTGTAGAGATATCAGAAAAGAATAGATTGCTCTCATATCCGGCTCAATTTATTGCGATCCTTGTCAACCATTCATTGAAATCTGAGGACGATATCTAGCGGTAGGGTACTATCCTGCCTAGTACACCGAAACCCGTAGTCGGTGGCTATAAAGAAAGCACGGGCCAGGTGTGTATCAAAGTTTTGAAATTTCGCGTTATTTATTTAAGTTAGTCAAATCTAATCAAAGGAGACAACATGCACAGAATGAGTTTATGCTTAGTTGCCTTGTCTTGAACAACTGATAAATTAAGAAAGGGAAGAGGAATGTCGCTACCACTCTTCTATCACTCTTTCTCAAAATATGGGTGCTGGTGTAAGGAGGAAAGGAGGAAGTGGTTCGCTAGCAAACATCAACTAAGCAGATGCATACTAATAAACAGCAACGTGAACGCCTCACACGCACAAAGTTTTAAAAAACTGAACATTTTCACGCGTCTTCTTGAACTTTTCTGGATATTACTTTAGTACTGAGCAATCGTAGAAGAGCACTGCAAACAGTTCCACAAGTTCCGCAACAAACTTCACATTCAACTAGGCACGAAGCAAAGCTTCAACTCAACCAGAGAATACTCGCATGCATCATCACGAGTATCCGCCGTTACGCTTGAATTTCATGGCAAGTTAAGCAGAGCCTGTTTCAATTTTTTTGTGCTAACAAGTTTAGGCAGCGCAGCACAATGAAGGACACCTCAGGAAGCCAAGGCAAGAAGGAAACACTCTCCGGTTTGAAAAACTATTTATACGAGCGCCAACTTTTTCGCTTTGCCTATGAGTTATGTCAGCTGTCTAATTGTCTTTGGGCTGTGGCACCCTTCTTTGTGCTAAACTGCCATGCCATCAGAAGAAAGCACGAGGGCTCGGATACTGCCAAGTCTAAAGGGAGAAGTAAGGTTGGAAACAGGGAATTTTCAGACAGTGAATTCAAACTCCAACCACTGAGCCAACACAGCTAACCAGCCATATTACACGGTCATTTTTGACAGCATTTAACTTAATTTTGACCTACCTTTCAGCATGCTTACCCGGATGGGCGATGAAAACATAGACACAAAACCCGTAAACTTTCGCACCGTATTACTGACGCAAACAGAATTGCATCGTGTGAAATAGACACAATGACTTGCTCAGTTATCTGGTTATTCAAGTCAACCAATTTTCTTGATCCTTAGCTTAAGCACATGTTTGTGTAGCTCTGCTTCCTGCAGCGTTGAGTTTGATATCGGCCGGCGCATTAATGTTTGCTGGTTAGGTAGATAGCCTGGAATTATGGCACCAGCCAAGTTGGACCAGGCACCCTAATGTATCTGTAAGTCAGACTGTGTGACCTTTACTACCTGCAACCACATCTTGATTTCCACAAGTGACTTCAAATGAAACGCAATGAATTTTATACCCTGCATCTTTGTAATAAGTGCAAATGTTTTTTTCAGGTGTATTGATAGCTGTTTGAAGTAAATCATAGGGGATAAGCTGTTGCGTTTATATTGACTGCTCTGACCAACAGATCAGTCTATCCAGAAAATAAATCGCCCGGCGCATTTGCACAACAATCCATTGCGGCTAATTTTGCGATAATATTTTTCCAGCTAAAAGGTTTCATACTAATAGAAAGCCCATTTTTACTTCCGTTTGTTTTGGACATTTGTCAGGCGATTTCCGCGTTAAATGCAAAGAGGCGTCTCAGTGTGTCTGCATTTAAAGATACGGAGTTGCTTTTAACTGAACATTTCCTGTTTCAGACAACAAATTACAGCCCTTACACCGCGCTCGTATTATCACTCGTATGGAGAAACCATCATCCTACGTCACCCATGCTGTACCGTTGTTGTGACATTAATTTCTCTGTATCCATAATTTAACACATAAAGCTGGTTTATCTCTTCCTATAAGCCAAAAACTTCAACGGTTTCCATTAGCCCATGCCAAACTTACGAGAAAAGCTGAGTTACTGAGATAGTTATCTTCAGAAAGATGAACCAATAACTGAAAAAGGACTTTGCATACGTTTTAGGGGTGGCCATTCTTCCGCTCTACTTAGGAAGTAGTCTTGCTTTAAAGAGATCATATTCAACGGCGCAAGTTCACTCAAAAAACGCTTAGTTTATGTGGGTGGCGTAGTTGATAAACTTTGAGGACTGGTGAAACGCGCTTGCCTTGCCTCGCCTCTAGTTCAGGTGAAATTGAATTTCTTTATTAACTCTGCTAAGTAATTACCTTCACTTATTCGCTTGATTCTTAGAGATCAAGGATCCATCAACCATCTGATAGGTTGTCAAATCAGTATGAAAAGTCTCGAAAAAATTCTTCCAGAGTTGTCATCCTAAGAATGAAGTCAGTCTATCTGCAAAAGCTAAAATGCATTCTGCGGATTTCTTCTGCCTGTTGGAATCAAGATAAAATGTACATCTCACGAGATCTTAAAAGGGATTCGAATATGTGGCCACATCAATGGCAAGGAATTTAACTGCTCAGCAACGCGCGAGTAACCATAGGTCCCATTATTAGTCCGGAGGCCGCAGATTTGTGTTGTGTCCGCAGCTGATGATTTCTGACGTGCAAACGATAGCCGCACATTTGTCAACTTTTCAGCACGGACCGACTTTGCTCGTAGCACAGAGCTGGGGCTTCATTTTTCACGACCATCGGCTTACACACCAAACACGATTTTGTCCATAGTGTTCATGTCCCTTCAAAATTTAGAGGAAATCTGTTTTTTCAGACTTCCCACGTTTCTGGCTATTCCTCATAAGTTAGTCAAGTTACTTAAGTAAATCTAGGTGATGTCTTCATGCCGCAAATTCCCGGATGTACTTCGTCGTCCTCTGGACTGCTTTGAACTTGTCTCCATTTTCACATGATCCATACCTCTGCATGGCCGTAGTGGGGTCTTATGAATCTCACAGCCAATTGTTAGCGCACTTTTGGGGAAAATAAACCGAGACTTCGGATGTTGCATGCCGTCTTCCATATGTTTAACTAAGAAACAATGCCAACGCCTTGTTGGCAAACATTAGTTTGCTAAGATGTATGTTTATGGTGTACTTTAAGGGCAACAAAGTACTAAATATAACTCCTGTGCTTTCCGACTATTCGTTAAATAATCCAAGTGAATGCGTACAGTACTCAAGAGGCTATATTAAACTTAGGGATCTCTACATGATACTTGCGTAGAAATTAACGTTTAAGTTGTCATATATTAACTCTTCCTCAATTCGGTCTACCTACCATCGCCTAACAATTGATCGTTCTCTTGGCACACTAAGGGGGGTTTTACTTTAAAAACTTGGGGAACGCAGAATACGCTTCATCAAGAAGTGATATATTTTCCATGAATAAAAATATTCCCATTCAGGATCATCTAGCAGGTCAGATTAATTCGGTTGCACGGCGTTCTTGTTTCCCCTATTCACAAGATACTGGTGATACCGTTTCAAAAAGGCTTAATGTTTTCTAGTGCTTAGGACTCCTCAAAGGTAGCCTTTATATTCAAACGGTTTTTAAGGCACAAATTTATTACTGGGGTAGAAAAGGGGCCAGAGCAGACTTTGACTGAACAAGGAGTTCAATTTCTAAAGTCTGTATCAGTCTGCTTGTTCACTAAAGCGTTTATGCTTTTTTTGAGATGCAAAGGGCGTTGAAACGCTTATATTTGCCATATTCTTGGCTTTCTTTTAAGACCGAAGCATAATATATTCAATTATTGCCGTTGTTCTGTTGAAATACCACCGGTGGGATGTGATTAAATGGGCAGACTGTTGACAGATTTTTCAATTATGCACACTGTTCGCTCGCCTCGGTCTCCTTGATTAGGGTTAGTATATATCGACCCAACCAGATGTAATTTTATTCTTCCGCGTGCAAAACCTCGTGGTGGAAGCTAAATGGTGGCACCCCACAAAGCGTGTAAGAAAACCCTATGTTGGTCCGTTTCATGCATAGATGACAAATATATAACGGTAAACTATGAATACTGTGATTACGCGGATCAGATGAGAGAAGCCTCTTTGGACGCTATCAAAGACGCCCTTTATGCTAAACTCAGCCATACGTTAAGATGTTTTGATGCGTCCGTGCAGATGTGGGACTTTATAAACGTTTTGTAATTCTGGGTGTTTATTTGGTTTATCTACGGTCGGATGAACTTATATAAATTTGGTCCTCTGTAACGTAGACTTTACTGACAGTCTGGATGACAGCACTAGGGCTGTTGTGGAATTCGCACCTCGGTGTAAATGAAACGGAGACAAGTTTTTGACTCTGCCAACCCTGGCATTTAGTGCCATGAAAGTCCCAGTTAAACTCGATCGGCAGCGTGGTTTCACAACTCTGGTTTAAAACGTTGGTTAAAAACAAGATTCAGTGCCTACTAATATGACTTAAGAAGATTGGAGGGAACCTCTTCTGAAGAGGGCCAGACACTGTCAGTTTCCTTTTCATTTGTTGGCCCACAACAACCCATCAACCTACAAAGCAGCGGTTCTTTAAAGATGTAAATTGCAAGAATTTCTGGCCATGCAGTCTTGCCTTGTTTTATATATCGACTGTATACATGCCTTTAACGAGGAACAATTGCGTAAATGAAAATATATGCGGTGATTTAAACAATGCGACAAGAGCCAATCATATTTACGGGAAGATGTCATGGTAACCGTAGCCTACACAAACCAACACGTGAAGTCACCTGATGTGAACTTTTGCGTAAGTTTTCTATCTGCATTTGTTCGAACAGAACTAGTACTGTCTTGCATTGACATTTCAGGCCCCGTAATCCCACCTTTTGCTGAAAGCTAGCGTTTTATTGACAACCAACCGGGATGAGTTCTTTCGTGGATTACTCCTATCGCTACCCGATAGATCGCACTCCAAAATTCAACTTGCTTCCAAATGAACAAATCAAGCAGGCCAGTTCAGTGAAAATAACCCGGTTGTCTGGAGCCTATCAGCCTTACACCACCGATATTCGCTTTGGGGCGGGTGAACTTGTTCAGGGACAAAAGGTTCCAAACACCGGAGAGCTGCTACAGAGGATTCCGCTCGAACGGGACCTTCACAAAATTCAACCATCTCTGGACAAAAGTCTCAATTTTAAGAAATGCAGTCCCGTCGATAGTCTGTCCATATCGGATTTTCATCGCTTTCGCCGTCTAAAAGACTATGAACAGAAATTAGTGTCGCGCGTCCCGGATATTTTAGCCTATAAGTACTGCGCAAGCTGCTCTGCCTCCCATTTGGGAGGCTGCATTGGCTGCCGAAGAGATGACAGATATTACCAGCATGGGCCAACACGAAAAATGCCATTCCGTAATCAACGTCCCGATCTACCGTTTGGAAGGGGACATTACGGTTACCAGCATGAACAATTGGATCGGCATAATACTGGACATTTCTGGCTTTCAAAGTATCACTAATCTCGCCGTTCACTCTTTCAAAATACCAAAACACTCAGGTCAATCGAGAGAAATCTATGTAAGTTCATTTGAAGAGAGGCAAACCACCTGTTCTTATATTATCCATCCTCCTGAGAGATGTTACAACACTATTCAGATAATATATAGAGTAAATTCATCGTTCATTCTTCAATCTAATGTTTGAACCATACTCCCATTCAAAAGTGTAACAATGCTTTTTATATTGGCTTGAGGTCTTCAGGCATCCTCCGTGTCAGTGCCGTTGAAAGAGACTGTTCATTTAACTCACGAGGATTTCTGTGTTGGTGCCAAGTAAAAGCAGAAATTTCTGCAACAGAAATCCACCACTTTAGCCGAGGATATCAGCTCACCGGGGGGGGCTTGCTAACTCAACAGGGAGGGATTTGAAAAATAGTGGTTCTAAAGTCACTACCTCTGGCTCCGGTATCCATAAAATGGAAGAAGATCCTTAGGTTAAACGGTAGAAAAAATATCGACATCAGATTAGAAACCTCCTCTGTAAAAAACAAGGCAATGCTACGGATTCCACAGGGCCAGTTTTCGCTGTTTTTTATCTTATGCGGACCAGATTCAAGAAAAAAGATTGGCAGAAAACTTTGAACTCTGAACAGATAGCGACAGAGAAATCGATTTTGACGCAGATAAGAGAAATGCGGAAAACGGAAAACTGGACAGTGCAAAGCCTACATCTGAAAATGATCATCTGATGGACAGCATAAATAAGTTCGTTCTTCCAGTACTGGCAGACTAGCGATTAGGTGGGTTAAGAGTAACCGTTATATCATCCTTCCATACAAACGAAATACCTTACAGAACAAAAAATGGCCCAGCTGTAACATGCTTCCGGTGCCTAGCTGCCATGCTACTGAGAAGAAGTACGAGGGCTGGATACTACCAGGTTGCCCAAGCCTAGCTGGAAGTCGAGTGGCAGAGGCGGGGTTCAAATCATGGACCCTCCGGTCAGTAAATTCGCGCTCTAACCACTTGGGTCATCTCTCCCCGTACTGAACAAGCGGATGGTGAAAAAGAACCGTGGAGGACGTACATAGAAGAAAACAAATGGAAAGTTATTGATGTAATATGATGTGCTGTATTGTAATGTAATTTAGTTTGACAAAATGCTATGTAGTAATGTAAATATACCGAATAGGTAGAACGGAGCGCATACAAAGAGATTTCAAGAGACGCGTGTGATGCCATACAATGTTATGTGTCATAGTGTTTACCCTATCATATATCACCGCATTTGACGGTATGTTGTAGTCAAACACAGGGATCAAATGCGGGGTGGAGATTTATTGGGTGCTTTCTGAGTGGAGTGATGTTTCCAACACGTATCGTGGCCCGTGGGTCAAAATTCTACACTGATAGTTCAGACTGACCAACTCAACAGGAACATGCAGTCGTGGGGCAGACGGGTGTAAGCGATAGGTAGCTATGGGCGCAGGACACCAACATCTTAAAGCCCGTCGCATAAATCGTCCATCGAAGTCGGTACTAAAACCACAGTGATGAACACGACTGATATTCTATTCATTGCTCTATTCATTATTTCTCTTGTTTTAGTATTCTATACGCTGTACTTATACGCCAATTAGAATACATACGTGCTACTTGTTGCGCTGATCTGAATTCTGGATTTCTAGTCCGTCTAATTATTCCGATATAAGTCCGAAACTTAATTCTCACAACCACCCAAGTCGAAGGAATGAGGATGTGTCGAAACACACACAAAATCCGACTGCTCAACGGTGGCCTGCGGTGAACCTTGGCCGTTGTGATTTATATAAAGCCCAATGGACAAAGCCGACCCACAGAGATTCTGAGATAGACACCACACTGAAGAGTTTGTTTAACCGGTTTAAATGGCCAAAGTACAAGTATCCATGGTGATGGGCACAAAAAATGTAAGGGGAAAATTATCCTCGGAAAAGGGTTGTCGTGGGTGTCAACTCTTCCTATGCCGGATCCAATCAGCAAAGGTTCATTGTAAGTAGGATCGCAGCTGGGGAAATAACCGTTTTTTCTTTCAAAAAACACGCCCCATCAGACTGATTACGGTAGATTTCAGGTGCCGGAGCAGCTCCGTGAGATAGCTTGTATGTTTTACGTGTTACAAAAGCGAGAAGCCCATATACGACATATTCGGCCCACTTTGCTCAACTTATTCGAAATTCGATGGACGCGGGAGAAGTTTCAACCATCAGCAGGTCATTTCGGATTTGAAAAAATATCCTTCCAACGAGGAAATTTACATGAAATCAGGTTTTCACTTGGGTCAGTAGTACGATAAAAACTGCCTGGACGAAAACGATCATTAACCAACGTAGGCACCAACAAGAGGCGTGCCACAGTGACCTTCGTGAAATTCTTTGCATTTGAATAGGCTTATTAGTAGTAAGATACTGATAAAAGTTCGGTTCGTCGTGAGATAAATGGGATTCACTGGCAAAAAGCGGCTTCCAAATGAACAGCATTAAAATAAATGAAAAATTAGAATATTATTAGGTGCTTGGATTACGTGTCCATTTTTCGGCACCTCAACATTTCTTCCTTGCACCTATTGGGTCAATCCTAAAAGCTGCGATTTGTAAAGGCTGACAAGTGTCTCCTGGAGGAATGAAACAAAGGTTGTAGGGAGAGTGTTGATCCTGGTTTAGTTGACCCATCAACTTGTTTTTAACTCCGAAAAATCAATAGCAGAATTTTGGTGAAGAATATAAAGATCGAAGCACTGTTTTTCCAGTGAGAATATTCTATTTGCTAGCTTAAATGTTGATCGAAATCAGATGATTCGCTTATCCCAGTGAAACGGAAGACCCAGGAGCAAAAATGTCTCATTTACAATAACAAAATTTTTATGATAAATATTCAAATGATGAACAACTTCAATTTCAAGAATTTTCATCTGCATTATCATTTGCAGATGAAGACCAGAGGAGGGATGGTCGTTGTTCCGAAATCCTCTCGAGGCAAGAATTGAAACAACCTGCTGAAACATTCATCCCCAACCAAGCAACATCCAGAAAAAATTTGAGAGAAACATGGAATTTTAGGAGTGGTTGATCTTTTCGATCATAAGATTCTAATCAGACAGACACGTTAGTTTGGTATACGTCAGCTGTCTGAGTGTTCAAAAATCTTGGGTTGAAATGTACAAAATACTCGCAGCAAGTGGTTGAATACTAATAGTCCGGAAAACAATCCATGACTGCTGGTATCATTTGAACGGGCGTCCAAAATACACAGGCACCACGATGCTAGGCGTTTCCGCGCTTACCGTGTTTGCTTACCAGTTTGCAAGAATCGCCCCAATTTACACGTATTCTCTGGGTTGTAAATGACAATTTATGCCAAATGTCTGCCCACAAGTAGTCAAACAAGATACAGATACGCCAATGATGCCGCTAGAGTTATTAGATGCAAAGGCGTAGCTTATACAGTTTGAAAATCTTTAAGGAAGCTTGGTTACAGGGATAGAATTTTTTCTGTCCGTAAAATCTCTCGTGTACAGGTGGTGACATTAGCTCGAAGCCCAGCATTTTCTACTTGATCGAACTGTTTAGCTTTCATTGTTAGTTTTTTTCACAACGCACTTATGTGGATTATTTTCCACTGATTATAATGCGACTCGGTAGCAATTTTCCAGTGTATGCTTTCGTCGGCAGAATGATTGCGTGGTCATCGTACGGTAATGTCCTTCGCCAGGAATGCAAGGCTGACTAGTAAGCGTCTGTCCGCACTGGTTCAAAAGCCCTCCAACAAAATTGAACCCAGATGGGTATATTAGTGCAGGTCGACACCAAAGACCTAATGCGTTATCACAGGGCCTCTTTTTGTATCCCGTCAAGAAGCAACAACACCGGAGAAGCTAGATAAACTAATCAAAATTAGCACAAAATTAGAGAAATTTTATTTTCTTGTCAGTACTTCGTTTAGTTTTGATCTGCTGCGCCGTAAACCGACGAGATTCATTGAAACAAAATGTTGAAGAGCCAAAACCAGACAGAATTAGTAAGGGCTTCGAGCTACTGGTTGTAAGATCACACAAAAATTCACCTGACCATAAGTTTTAGATTATCATACAGCACGGTTTTGTTTAATTGTTCGGGACTGTGTTAGTTAGTAGTATATACATTGTTGACCAATTCAGCTAGTTTGAATTAGACCGATAAATTTGCTTTGTTTTGGCACACAAGGTTTTGATAGCCATAATGAGATAGAGAAAAAACTGTCTCCCAGATACGAGCAAGAAAATAAAAGTTCATCCTGATGCAAATAAATCTAATTCACTCTTTTTCAACACCCTCAGTTAAACGACAAGTGCTTTCCTAGAACGCTGTTGCTCTACCCAATGCCAATTTCAGTGGTTGCTCATGTCTTCGTTGGGGAAAATTACACTCTATGATGTGGGACAGAGGCGGCTTATAGAACCAAGTGTTCTCACCGCTGGACTGATGTTATTTCTGCAGTAGTCCAAAGTTTCATTGCCTCATCAGTACACGTGCTTCATACTGCATGATCGTCATACGTGAAGCCAATATTTGGATGAATGCCTAAAACCTGCAGCATATGGAGACTGCCATTTAAAACACCCAGTAAGCAACAGAAGCAGGGCTACATTGTGCGTAAAATGTGGAAATTCTTTCATATGACTCCGTCGAGGTCCGATTCTTTTGAGCACGTTGGTGACTGTTATGCCTTCTAGGACGAATCGTAGGCACAAGAACATTATTTTTAAAAGTTAACTCTAAAGTTCAGTAAATAACAGACACAAAGCTGAAATACTTATGATTCAAGGTGGCCAGAATGTGGGTGCTTCTTGCATACATGCACTAATTTTTGGCACAATTTCAAAACACTGTCTTTGCTGACTGATTTGGATCTATACACCAGTTACTTACACGTATGGTGGACATCTTGAATCCGCTCTTACATTTTTGTGGTTCCCGGACGATGTGCGATGCCATACACTAGTTTAGGTCCATCCTGGGAATTTGAGACCTAAAAATTAACTCGCTTGAAGGCCTGAAGGTTAACTTTTGTTTTATCAGCACCACATCTAAGGGGCTATGAAAATAATTCACTATATTTTACCTATATTCTGAGTCGATCTCCGCGTGCGAATTCCTGTGTAACCACCTCACATGAACTCAGATTATCGCGTTCAGTTCGGCTACTCAAAGGATGTGCCATTCGAGACACTGCACTCGCCGGTATTCCACTGCTATTTCATGCATGGTTCAGTTGTTAAACAAAAGAGAGCCAGAGGCGATCAAACATTTTCTTCGCAGCGAACTCAGCTGCGCTGGTTACTGACGTCTTCCTGGACAGGCCCAATCAATGGTTGGAGGCATTGTCAAACATGGACCAGTCGTGCCCTCAGTTGCGCTCGAGCATCCAAGCTATTGCCTTCAATGCATAATTCTATTCCCAGTCCCCTCCACTTAACAGTCCACCTACAGTACTGTAATTTATCAGCTCCCGTCTCCAATGTGCAGCTACCTATCCCACTTCCCCAAATTATCGGTGAAGGAAACTGTGGCAGCTACAACCACCGTACGACAAGTACGCGGTTGTTACAGCTGACAGGATGATGGTGATGATGATGATGGTGATGATGATGATGGCGATGATGATGATGATGATGATGATGATGATGATGATGATGATGATGATGATGATGATGATGATGATGATGATGATGATGATGGATCAATGCAAAACACAGGAAAGTGGAGTGCCTTCAGGAGAACATCACATTTAACCCGTAGAAGTTGCGAGGTATTTGTGTGATTCTTCCTATCACTCGTACTTAAGCAAACTAATTGAAAATGATTCTGTTATCCCGCGATTCATTACTACCAAATAGGACGTTTGTCATCCTTTCCAAAACTAGCTACTGGACTACATGAGCAGACATTAGGCACCTCAAAACATGTCGTTCACTTTGTGAAGACAACTGAGAACATAGTGGTATTCACAGTTGACATCCAGACATTCAGCTCCGATGCAGTTGAGCTCCCCGTCAAAAACAGATTGGTGTCCACGTGAGTGTATTTTGCAACTGTTTTCACAAATTGTGCACAAGTTGACTGAAGGTAAACTCCGTAGCTGTTTTTACCTGATAAAACCTAAGTAGGGCGAAACCGGAAGTGGACGAGAGATGCTATTTGGGGAAAATATTTTGTGATCCTCGAATATCGCAGAAAATAAAAAGCGATATGGCCTTTTTGAATTATTTATTGTTGAATAATATCAGAAAGGGAGGAATAAGTTGAGCATTATGGGGAAACTAAATTGACGTGCAAATGAGTGTAGTTCGTGAAGTCCCTTTTTTCAAATAGATAGATAGTTATTTCATATAGTTTGTTCCACACGGTTGAGGCTTATATTCCTATTTAACACAAGTTACATTTGGTACTTTTGCGACCGAAAATATGAAGGATAAGCAGCGGTCTCCTTTGTGGGTAGCGTTAGAGGAATGAGATTCCTAATTGTTTATTCAACTTGATTTTGATAACGTCTCCTTTCTGTATGACATGCTCTTGCGGGGAGACTACGCCTCGTTGGTATTTATGGCCGTTTGATCCACAAAAGGCGCATTTACGCCTATCCCAGTCAATTATGCTCGCAGTACTAGTTCTCAAAGAAGGATATCATGACCAATGCCACAATTTCGGATGGAACTGCCTGGAACTGACAGCCAAATAACGCAATACTCCAATCAATAAGAGTTCGTCAAAGAAGAAATTGTTTATTTATCCAGTGCAAAATATTGATAAGAGAACAATTTGAGGAATCCACTTCTAGGGAGTGTACATCACGGGAAAGATATTTCACAAATCCATTCTCTTTACGTTTCTCCTGTTTCATCCGGGAGTCTTCTGAAATTGGCCCATGAATACATTGTTGGTCTTATGGTCACACCCTCGTCAGAAGAATTGGCTATATTCATCCAGTGAATTAACTTGCTCACATGCTCCTCACCCGCCAGTCCACCAATTTTTAGGAAATGCACGCCCAAACCAACTGCCTGTAAATGAGAGAAACACCAATTAACTTCCTTATTTAGGCTTGCTCATATATGTACATATATGTGGCCACACATGCATCTATGCTATCGTTTATATTTGGAGGTCATGGTCACAGACAAAAACAGTAAATGCAAGCGAAGGATGTTGAAGGGTTACAGGAGAATGGTAGGAAAAAAGGGAAAAACGTCTCATTCGAAGCCATTCCAACAAGTGTCCGTCATACAGGGTCAGGTGTGAGAGTCAATGGCAAGAATGTACACCCAACGCCAAGTACAACACATAAAAGTGTCGTAATTATGTAGAGAGCCCAAAATAGCAAGCAAACATCAGTCACTGACTGTGACCTTAGGAATCCCCATTCCAATAACAGCCTTGGTGAACTGAGGAAAGCAGATCCCTAGATAAGAAATGATCATCGGTGCCAGTCGTTGCTTTATAACTTCGTTTAAGTTCGTCATGAATGCTGCAATAGAACTCCAGTTTCAGCAAGCAATCAGTAATAATTCAGACTGGCCTTTGAATTAATCTAGTGGACCATCATTGGGCGAGTATTTTTTGCTGTTACTGCAGCTTTCCCGATCACTTATTATGAAATCATACTTTTTGGACTAGGGTGTAGCCTCCCCAGACTCCGCACATGCTAAAAACCCAACCACTCCTTTTTGCTCTAACTAATCTACCACTGGTTGAACAGTGTATTAGGTCTGTATTCACTTTGATGTCCACAAGCGCTCACATCTATGATTTTCTGTCATATTCAAATTAACTGACCAGATTGTGCTAAACTTTCGGTGTTCGCAGATTTGAGCTTGCATCTAAACCTCTGCTGGAGGAGGCGCCTTGAACAAATCAGATTGGCAGAAGCCTAGTTCAGATCTCCTTGGTTAGCTCGTTTTCCGTCCTAAAGAGTGAGGTGTAATTGGAGAGGAATCCTATCCGGCGGATTGTGTGGTTGTTAAGTACTCGGGAATAATTGCGTGTTGTTTTGTATTTTCCCTATTTCCTGTCTTGGAAGGGCGACTAATGTCGGAGGTATTACTTACACCGTTTCTTCCCGGAAGTCACCGATCAAATGATACATAAGTTATCTTCCTGCCGACCACAATGCACGTTAAATACGGTTTCGTTGCATGTACTCTAGTTTTTTCCCTCCAATCATACTTACCAAACTCATTTTGGCCACCATAGCCTAACAGTAGCAGTCCACGCAAGAACCTTTATTCTCTTACACTGTATGACGCACCCTATTACAATGAACTATTTACAGACTACGATTGGAAAAATAAAGTCGTCTATAAAATAGCCGTTGTTTAAGCTGTGAGTTTCGACGTTCCCAACTTAGCATTAAAGTTGATCGTGAGAAGAAATGCAGCAAATTTTTTGGACACTGCTGTCGACACAAAATACCAGTGCTCATGAGCTTCAACATTTCTGGAATCAACATCGATACGATCTCTTTGATGTTTTTCTCACTTGGGTTTGAAGTCTCTAGAAAACCAACACTGTGAGGAAAATGCGACAAGGTTTGCTAATAACCCCAGAATTTGTTCGTTTGAGGCACGCGCTGTCTGTATCACGGTTAAGCTCAACTCTTATTCCGGTTTTCATGACGTTACCGTTTACCATCAGTGTGATTGTGATGTGAATTTATTTGTTTTGTTGTTGACTTTATTCCCAACTACGTTTTGAAGAGTGGTCCAAATAAATTTTTTTTTGTGTATTGCAAAGCGTTCTTTCTTGTACTGGAATAAATTCCTACATTTTAGTTTGAGTCAAAATACAAAGACATTTAGATAGTATGATTAAAACTGCTCTGTTGTGAGGTGAATAAATTTTACCTCTTGATAGAATTGAACACTGTTTCGCCCCATGATTCCTAATAAGAATGAAGCGTGTGTTTCACGATATTTCAGCAAAGACTGACTTCATTTAATTGATCAAGTCGTAGTCGCAACTTCCATTTTTCCACATTCTTCCTACAAGTTACCCTCATGTCGCCTTGTAACGCGTGTTTCAGGAAAACAGTGGTCCACTATGCTTTGTTCGACTGCATGGTTGAAGGAACGCACCCCATTCAATGTACACCTCAGAATCAGTGTAGTCCAAAATCCCAATAGCCAGAACCGCATAGCACTGTTATCGTGGACACGATAAAAGTAAATATGTCGCTTCTATTAAGTTTTTAATGAGCCTTGTAGCCAAAAAGTAGCTTAAATACGTAAGTAAGCCTTTTGCCCACACACAGAATCTTTTGCTTTCGTGTGGTGAGGTCAATAAAATGCTGATGGAAACTCATGAAGTACAAAACATTGGTCAACCTACCAAGTCCACAGGCCATAACTCAGACGTGAGCATCCGGTCAACAGCAAATATGCTGCGCTTCTCTGCGACTAAAAAACATGTTGATATAACTGAGTGAAAATGTTGAACGATAGTATAATGGGTAATTAGTAATAAATAACGAAAAAAGTCATTCGAGAAATACACTCATTTGCAAATCAACTTGGTTTTCGCGAGAGACTCGACTGAATCTCTCGTTCGTGATATTATACGACTGAATGTGCTGCACACAGGCCGCCTCATGATTCAGTTGGCACGAAATTGGAGACATCGCAGTATATTTTTATAAAGGAAACTACTCACAAGTTTGCTGAAAACTGATGAGCCCCAAGAAGGGCGAAAGCGGTCGTGGGCTGTCGAAGAGTTTTCAGCAACCTTGTGAGTAGTTTCCTCTATGAAAAAACTCATTCTTGCACTTGGCACGTTCTGAGTGCAAGTTCTTGCTGAGAGACACGGCATCTAATGATTCAATGAGGTTGTAGGACATTATAGACGTAGCAAAGGTTGGATTATTTCTGGCGTTAGTGTGTTGGCAGAAATAAGTTGACGAATAACAAGAGCTAGAATAGGGCTTGGTAATTTTGTGCAGTTTTGGCGCCAAAAACACATATCCTCGTGCATCAGAACATGTGTAAATCATACTACGAAACCCACTATGTTCCCAATTTTGTTACCGGTGATGATAACTAACTGTCACGAATTTGCTGGAGTCTTAAATTTATTCGACCAACGCAACCTGGATTCTCACTCAACTGACATGTAATTGAGGCACACAACTCTCAGGAACCTCATTGGTAGAATGACACTTCCCACTCCTGCCCAAACGACACAATTATACCTAGGTCATTACACGTGTCGGTCAAACGGATTCATTTACCATGCCAACTGAACAAATTTTCACTTTACGTGTAATATCCTGAAATTCTTGCTGTTATAAAGTTACATTATACCCATGGTGAACAAGTAAACAAAAATAATGGTATGGTACTCACAATGTAGATTTTCTACTGCCTGAATAAGTTCAGAAACCAGAAAGCAGTCCAACTGGGCCAAGCTGTCGAACATCCATCCCGAAAATTCCACAGAATCTTGAAATTGGTCATTCACGTGAAGCTGTTTTATTTCAGACTCCTCGGTGGAATACGCGCTTGACATCAGTTTGTTAGCCATACACTTCACTCCAGGACCAGAAGAAGAGTAGCAGAAGCCATTATCCCGCGGAACGTTCAGTGCCTCACTTTTCATCTGAGTCACCGTCCATAGCTTTTGTGGTGCGATGCTGGTAACCAGAAGAACTTGGTCTCCAACATTTTTCTGAAGTGCGCTCCACGCATTATTGTCCTGCAATGAGAAACAAGACAAAGATGAAACTGGTAGTTAGTGGTCCCTCGCAAAGCATATAATTTTTAAATCTAGACTAAGCTGTTGATCAAGCCGTCCGTCTCCTGTGGAATATTATGGCTAATTTCAACCCACTTTCCTGTTGTCGGACAATTGGCACGTTTGCTTCGGTGTCCATGCGTGAATCTGTTTTAGTGCACTTTTACATTGAAAAATTTACTCGTCATGCTTTTACACACTTGTAGCTATACGTACTGATGTTTTAAAGCCCGGAACCCCTGAGTTTGACTAGTTTACCCCCCTTCAAAGCTAGAATTGTCTAGGTTTGTAGCATATTCTTCCAACTGCAAGACTGTATCATTGAAAAACTTTAAAGAAGACCGTAGTGGTTTGGCGGTAAAACCTAAAGCAGAGTGGATAGTTCCACGTATTGACGGACAACGCTGTTTCCTTTGAGAGTGCCAAACCCTCGGTTAGTGTAGACAGTGTTCAACAAGGACCAGTAGCATTCGGTGAAGAAAAGTTATTGCGCTACCCCCAACAAACTAATAACAACTGTCAGGCCCTTTAATTACATTCGCGTTATATTATTTGCTTAATTGTATTTTGAACAATGTAGTCAGCTGATCGATTGGAACAATAAATAGCTGGTTGACCGATCCTTGTTCATCCTGTGCACAAAAATCATTATCTTCACCAACTTGTTTTACATAAGAAAGTTCCTGGGTTGAACTTCAATTTGTTTCGTGCATTTCTATTGATTTTGTTTCTATTCGACTATAGTCTGTGGTATCGATCGACCACATACGTGCTAGCATCGTACAAGTCCGGAGTGTGGTAACCCGTTAAGCATTTGAGTCCAGATAAAAACACTGCATAAGTCGTGTGTGTATACAATAACCAATAATACTGGCGACAATGGCAGTGATAATGATTGTGTCCAATCCAGACAGTTTGAAGAGGTCAGCCGGAGGCAACCTGATCTGGAGCTTGCCCGTTCATAGGACAGAAATAAAGGACGGGGAAATTAATGCATGCAGATGCTATACTGCATTAGTGGTTCTTATGCTAGTTCTCAACTGCATTGAGACGGTTATTAACAAAGAAATCGTTTTAAAAAAACAGTTGTTGTGAAAGCCCTAGGAATACTTCATATAGAAGTGCACGGAACCATCATTAACATATTTTATCTGACACCTCGGTGACACGTTTTGCGCAAACAAAATTCTTTGTTTCGCTTTTTCGTTTCAACTGGTTTGGGAGATTTCGTTTCACATAGTGTTTTTTCAGTGCTTTAAAGAATGTTTCAAAAACGAATTACACCTACTTCTTTCCGAAAAGGGTTTACCAGAAGACAAATATCCTTGTACTTGTCTAACAGCCTCGTATAGAAGGTCACGAGTTCGTCTGCAGTTTTCAGCGCTCCAGAGATAGGTTCGTATTTCCCTCTTGACTGCAAGAAGAAAACAATAGGCTATGATGTCCTTACACTACTGAAGCTGACAACATGATTGTACATACATATATACATATACATATATATATATATAGGTATATATATATATTTATATGCACTACAGCCATGGACACATACTTCGTGTGCCGTAAACACAAGAAATTCTTCTACTTTTCAAGCAAATGATATAGTGTCATCCAGATCCACTCCAGTGGAAGAAGCACTGTCAGAGCGTTGGAAGCTGGTGCTTGTGGATTGCTTTAGTAGGTTTTCTTTCAGTTCAAAGAGACTATTTTGACCTTGAAGATTAGGCAAAACGTTTACAGGCCGTTCCTATATCGATGCTTGATATAGCTCATTTGATTTGACAATATAGCACGTGAACGCCTTCTAGAAATGCTCAGAGCCAACCATAAATCTTGGCTTGTCATTTGTCCGTAAAATCCAAAACAAATCATAATGTTCAGATCCTGTCAAACAGGGAATAGGAGTACATAAATCAGGTTGATTATTCAATATCAAAAACCGAGCCATCTCTCAACGGGAACCGTTTGACTTCCATCGGGCTAATTTACTGGTAACTTTTGTTTTGCTAAGTCACAGCTCACAGTAAAG